TTCACTGATTACACTGCAGAATTTGCACACAACTTTGCTACATGCCATGTACAAAAATAGGACTATAGGCAGGGGTGCACATAAGTGGTACGCAGGTACGCATGCGTGACTATCACTTGAGTTAGTAAGCACTTTTGCGTACTTCACATTGACCAGTCCTTCTCAAATAGTGTGGCGCTCCTCCCTGGGGGGTCGTAGTGCAATAACATCCTTCGTTCTGACCCCGGGAGAAACTGTGGCGCTTCGACAGCTCAGCAAGTGTGCGTGGTCATATACCGAGCGCGGACCATAGACAAACGCGTGGTCATGTACCGAGCGAGGACCATAGACGCACGTGGTCATGTACCAAGCGAGGACCATAGACGCACGTGGTCATGTACCAAGCGAGGACCATAGACGCGCGTGGTCATGTACCGAGCGAGCACCATAGACGCGCGACCTGGACTGGTCCGGGTCTAGGTCTTGGTTCTCGACTCGGCTCAGGTCTGGGTCCAGGACTGAGTCTAGATCAGAGTCTAGATCAGAGTCTAGATCAGAGGCTAGATCAGAGTCTTGATCAGAGTCTAGATCAGAGTCTAGATCAGAGTCTAGATCAGAGTCTAGATCAGAGTCTAGATCAGAGTCTAGATCAGAGTCTAGATCAGAGTCTAGATCAGAGGCTAGATCAGAGTCTTGATCAGAGTCTAGATCAGAGTCTAGATCAGAGTCTAGATCAGAGTCTAGATCCGAGTCTAGATCCGAGTCTAGGTCCGAGTCTAGGTCCGAGTCTAGGTCCGAGTCTAGGTCCGAGTCTAGGTCCGAGTCTAGGTCCGGGGCTGAGTCCGGGACAGGGTCCGGGATTAAGTTAGACCCAGACTTAGGGTGATAAGTTAGACACATTCTTAAATGTTCCTCTGAGGACTTCCCTGGGTTTGGACTGAAGTCATGAAACTGTCAGAGAAGAGCCCTGAGGCCCAGGAGCAGTGCTGATGACCCGCCCTCTGTGATCCGTCTGTGACCCGTCTGTGGGATGGACCCCTCTCTCTGTGGTGTTTCCGAGGTTCTCTTTTTCTGCCACTGGTTTAGGAGTTTCCTCGATGCAGGAGGGTCTAAGGTGGATGGACTGTGTCTCAGCTGGATGGACTGTGTCTCTCAGCTGGATGGACTGTGTCTCTCACCTGGATGGACTGTGTCTCAGCTGGATGGACTGTGTCTCTCAGCTGGATGGACTGTGTCTCTCACCTGGATGGACTGTGTCTCAGCTGGATGGACTGTGTCTCTCAGCTGGATGGACTGTGTCTCAGCTGGATGGACTGTGTCTCAGCTGGATGGACTGTGTCTCTCAGCTGGATGGACTGTGTCTCTCAGCTGGATGGACTGTGTCTCAGCTGGATAGACTGTGTCTCAGCTGGATGGACTGTGTCTCAGCTGGATGGACTGTGTCTCAGCTGGATGGACTGTGTCTCTCACCTGGATGGACTGTGTCTCAGCTGGATGGACTGTGTCTCTCAGCTGGATGGACTGTGTCTCAGCTGGATGGACTGTGTCTCAGCTGGATGGACTGTGTCTCTCAGCTGGATGGACTGTGTCTCTCAGCTGGATGGACTGTGTCTCAGCTGGATAGACTGTGTCTCAGCTGGATGGACTGTGTCTCAGCTGGATGGACTGTGTCTCTCAGCTGGATGGACTGTGTCTCAGCTGGAGGAACTGTGTCTCTCACTAATTTGAATTATGAAACACTCAGAAACTTCATATGATCCATGTTTTGTGTTGAAGAGGAGGAGGCTCATTTGATTGCTAGACTGAAATCTGTGGTGATTCGTCTGCAGTTTTGAGTCAGGGGCGGGTAATTAGGGCTGTGTCAATTATCAGATATATAGCAAAGGAAGGTTTCTCACCCATCATCTGTACTTCTTAGCACGTTTTGGGAAAACGTGCTAAGAAGTACAGATGATGGGTGAGAAACCTTCCTTTGCTTTGACTAATCCCTGTACGACTGAGGGCTTACACAAACTTATCAGATATATATCAATATTTTAAAATTGAATACATTATAGCTGTTTTATTTAGGAATATATATATATATATATATATATTTATTTATATATATATATATTAATTGTCCACTCACCTGGCCCTCCGTGGGCGGTTATCCCTCTCTAAGCTCGGGTCCTCTACCAGAGGCCTGGGAGCCTGAGGGTTCTGCGCAGTATCTTTGCTGTTCCTAGCACTGCACATTTCTGGACCCAGATGTCCGAGGTTGTTCCGGGGATCCGCTGTAACCTCTTCTAGCTTCGGGGTCACTGCCCCGAGTGCACCGATCACCACGGGCACTACTGTCACCTTTACCCTCCAGGCCCTCTCCAGCTCCTATATATATATATATATATATATATATATATATATATATATATATATATTTATATATATATTAACAGCTACTAATAGGAGCTGTTAACAGCTCCTATTAACAGCTACGCCCTGCCAGTGATCAGATACCCTGCAGGAATAATCAGGTGGCCAAAGGAAGAGATTCAGACCACGGATGTTAAAACTCGAAAGCTCCTTACCATGCATGGCGGGTTCCATCCCAAATCCAGCACCCTGAGACTGTACGTAAGCCGTAAAGAAGGAGGCCGAGGACTAGTGAGTGTGAGAGCCACTGTCCAGGACCAAACATCCAAACTCCAGAACTACATCATGGAGAAGGCCAAAACGGATGACGTACTCAGTGAATGTCTCAGGCAGTGGCGAGATGAGGAGGTGCTGGAGGAGAGCCCATCATGGGAGAACAAGCCTCTACACGGCATGTACCACCGGAGCATAACAGAAGTGGCTGATCTCAAGAAGTCCTACCAATGGCTAGAAAGGGCTGGCCTACAGGACAGCACAGAGGCACTCATCATGGCTGCACAGGAACAGGCCCTGAGCACCAGAGAGGCCCAGATATACCACACCAGACAAGACCCAAGGTGTCGGTTGTGCAAAGAGGCACTTGAGACGATCCAACACATAACTGCAGGGTGCAAGATGCTGCAGGGAAGGCCTACATGGAACGCCATAACCAAGTGGCTGGCATAGTGTACAGAAACATCTGTGCAGAGTATGGGCTGGAAACCCCAAGGACTAAGTGGGAAACTCCTCCAAAGGTGGTGGAGAATGAGAAGATCCTGTGGGACTTCCAGATACAGACCGACCGAACGGTAATGAACCAACCTGACATCGTGGTGGTGGACAAAGGGCAGAGGACAGCCGTGGTGGTGGACAAAGGGCAGAGGACAGTCGTGGTGGTGGACAAAGGGCAGAGGACAGCCGTGGTGGTGGACAAAGGCAGAGGACAGCCGTGGTGGTGGACAAAGGGCAGAGGACAGCCGTGGTGGTGGACAAAGGGCAGAGGACCGCCGTGGTGGTGGGCAAAGGGCAGAGGACAGCCGTGGTGGTGGACAAAGGGCAGAGGACAGTCGTGGTGGTGGACAAAGGGCAGAGGACAGCCGTGGTGGTGGACAAAGGGCAGAGGACAGCCGTGGTGGTGGACAAAGGGCAGAGGACCGCCGTGGTGGTGGGCAAAGGGCAGAGGACAGCCGTGGTGGTGGGCAAAGGGCAGAGGACAGCCGTGGTGGTGGACAGAGGACAGCCGTGGTGGTGGACAAAGGGCAGAGGACAGCCGTGGTGGTGGACAGAGGACAGCCGTGGTGGTGGACAAAGGGCAGAGGACAGCCGTGGTGGTGGACAAAGGGCAGAGGACCGCCGTGGTGGTGGGCAAAGGGCAGAGGACAGCCGTGGTGGTGGGCAAAGGGCAGAGGACAGCCGTGGTGGTGGGCAAAGGGCAGAGCACAGCCGTGGTGGTGGACAGAGGACAGCCGTGGTGGTGGACAAAGGGCAGAGGACAGCCGTGGTGGTGGACAAAGGGCAGAGGACAGCCGTGGTGGTGGACGTGGAAATTCCAAGCGATGGTAACATCAGGAAAAAAGAACATGAAAAGCTTGAGAAATACCAAGGTCTCAGAGAGGAGCTGGAGAGGGCCTGGAGGGTAAAGGTGACAATAGTGCCCGTGGTGAAAGGTGAGTGGACAATTTTTTTTAAAAAATATATATATATATATATAATTTTCCGATTTAGTCTCTTTTCCATTATTTCGATTTTTTGATGTTACAAACAGAAGCTTGAGATGATTTTTTTCATCAAATGTAATGCACCAATAATAGCTTTAAGATACCAGCCAAAAGCCTTTTTTTACTGTGTTGTATTTTTGTTTGATTGTATGACTATATTTTTGACTGTGCGCACGTGTCTCCTGCAGCCCTGAACATACGTTCTAAGTTTGTTGTAATTGTAAATTAAGAAGTAACAAACTATATTTTTTGAGGAGAAAGAAACAGCTTGCATGGTGGATTAACCAAATCACAACCTGTGTATCATAAACAAATGAGAGCGCACAATGAGCCACGTTCTGTCTGATTCACGTGCACACGAGGACCACGCGAGGAGCACACGGCGACGAACCGGAGAGATGGCGCTGAGAGCAGAGCCGATCGGTAAGTACCTCTGTCTTATTTTCATGGTGGTAAAGTGAGTTCTTTATCATTGTAATAACTCCGGCCAAAGTAACTTCCCGTATCAAATCCAATGGTTTTTAAATACCTAACGTGGTGCTCAGTGGTAAATTCGTTTGATGGCGGCGTGGGTCCTGCGCCTATGCGCGAGTAGTAATAGTAAGTAAGTTTTTTTATTTATATACCGCCTTTCACTGCAGATCTGAGTCTCAAAGCGTGTTTACAATTGTTAATTTTGGGCATTAGTCTGTCACTCACAAAGAGATGGGAAGCAGGGCCAGTACAGGAGGCACATCCATTGGACATATTTTTTAGTGTAAGGTGGGGGGGGGGGGGGGGGGGAAACTCGGAGTAACCCGGAAGGATACCTACGCAGACACGGGGAGAACATGCTAACTCCAAAAGCCCTGGTCCGACCGGGATTCGAAACCAGGACCTTCTTGCTGAGAGGCGAGAGTGCTGATCCACTCAGCCACCGTGCCGCCCACGGTCTGTGTCTGTGCGAGGGGCCTGTGGGTCTGTGTCTGTGTGTGGGTCTGTGGGTCTGTGCTGGGTCTGCGCATGGTTCTGTGGGTCTGTGTCTGTGGCGAGGGCCTGTGGGTCCCTGTGTCTGTGGTGTGGGTCCTGTGGGTTCTGTTGCGTGGGTCTTGTGGGTGCTGTGCGTGGTCTGTGGGTCTGTGTCTGTGCGTGGGTCTGTGCATGGTTCTGTGGTCTGTGTCTGTGCGTGTGGTCTGTGGGTCTGTGTCTGTGTGTGGGTCTGTGTCTGTGCGTGGGTCTGTGGGTCGTGTCTGTCGAGGGCCTTGGTCTGTCGTGTTGTGGGTCAGTGCGTGGGTCTGTGGGTCTGAGGTCTGTGCTGGGTCTGTGGGTCTGTGGGTCTGTGCGTGGGTCTGTGGGTCCCGTGGTCTGTGCATGGTTCTGTGGGTCTGTGCGCGGTCTGTGGGTGCTGTTGTCTGTGTGGGGTCCTGTGGGTCTGGTGCGTGGGTCATGTGGTCTGTGTCTGTGCGATGCTGTGGTCTGTGTCTGTGTGTGGGGCTGTGCGTGGGTCTGTGGGTCTGTGGGTCTGTGCGTGGGTCTTTGGGTCGTGGGTCTGTGCGTGGTCTTGGGTCTGTGGGTCTGTGCATGGTTCTGGTGGGTCTGTGCGCGGGTCAGTGGTCTGTGTCTGTGTGTGGGTCTGTGGTCTGTGCTGGTCCTGTGGTCCCTGTGTCCTGTGCGAGGGCCTGTGTGTCTTGTCTGTGAGTGGTCTGTGCGATGGGTCTGTGGGTCGGTGGTCTGTGCGTGGGTCTGTGGGTCTGTGGGTCTGTGCGTGGGTCTGAGGGTCCTGTGGGTCTGTGCATGGTTCTGTGGGTCTGTGCGCGGGTCGTGGGTCTGTTCTGTGGCGTGGGTCTGTGCATGGTTTCTGGTGGGTCTGTGTCTGTGCGTGGGTCTGTCTGTGCGTGGGTCTGGGTCTGTGCGTGGGGTCCTGTGTCGTGCTGGGTCTGCGCATGGTTCTGTGGGTCTGGGTCTGTGTTGGGTCTGGTGTGTGGTTCTGTGGGTCTGTGTCTGTGCGTGGGTCCTAGCGCATGGTTCTGTGGGGCTGTGTCTGTTGCGTGGGTCAGCGCATGTTTCTGTTGGTCTGTGTACTGTGCGAGGGCCTGTGGGTCGGTGTCGTGTGTGGGTCTGTGGGTCCTGTGTCTGTGCGTGGGTCTGCGCATGGTTCTGTGGGTCTGTGTCTGTGCGTGGGTCTGCGCATGGTTCTGTGGGTCGTGTCTGTGCGAGGGCTGTGGGTCTGGGCTGTGTGTGGGTCTGTGGGTCCTGTGGTCTGTGCGTGGTCTGCGCATGGTTCGTGGGTCTGTGTCTGTTGCGTGGGTCTGCGCATGGTTCCTGTGGGTCTGTGTCTGTGCGAGGGCCGTGGGTCTGTGTCTGTGTGTGGGTCTGTGGGTCTGTGTCTGTGCGTGGGTCTGCGCATGGGTATGTGGGTCTTGTGTCTGTGCGTGGGTCGCGCATGGTTCTGTGGTCTTGTCCTGTGCGTGGGACTGCGCATGGTTTCTGTGGGTCTGTGTCTGTGCGCAGGTCTGCTCGTTGTTCGGTGGGTCTGATTGTCTGTGCCAGGACTGCTTGTTGTTCTGTGGGTCCTGTGGATCTGTGCGTGTCTGTGTTCTGATCTCTGAAACTTCGAAAAAGATGGAGGCCTTCTAAAATCAATTGCTGAATTATGAAATTGTATGAAGCAAGCGATTATATTTTATTTATTTTTTTCCCCTTGGTCTGTGAAATGCACTATATATGACTATTACTTACTTTAGAACCGTGTTTTGGATTCAAGACCTCATGAGTAAATTTCCAAAAAATCAGTTTAAATTTATTGTAAAATTAATGTGTTGAAATGTATTAGAAGAAAATGCAGATGAATTCTAATTGTAAATCTTGCATGATGCAGATGAGTAGCCCATCTCAGATGCCTGTCCAGTGATGAGTACAAGCCGCCTCCTGGAAGCCCGTGCTCCTCTACATTTTCCAGCAACGATTCTGTATTTTCTGACACCATGTAGTCCAGACCAAAGACAAGTCGGTTTAGTCCCTGTTTAGACCCTGGTTAAGACTCTGGGTTTAACCTGGTTTTAACCGGGGTTGTCCTTGTGTTTAGACCTTAGGGTAGACCTGGTTCAGTCCTGGTTTAGACCTAGGGCTGGACCTGGTTAGACCGGGGGGGGGGGGTAGACCTGGATTAGTCCTGGTTCAGTCCTGTTTTAGACCTAGGCTAGGACATGTTTAGACCTAGGGTTAGACCTGGTTAGTCCTGGTTCAGTCCTGGTTTCATCCCTGGTTTCGACCTGGTTCAGTCCTGGTTTATCCTGTTTTGTCTGGTTTAGTCCTGGTTTCAGTCCAGGTTTAGTCCTGGGGTTAAGTCCTGTTCAGTCCGGTTTAGCCTGGTTTATACCCTGGTTTAGACATGGATTTTTTTTTTTAGAGTCCTGGTTTAGACCTGGTTTAGTCCTTGCTGACCCTTCTGTGTGTTCTTATCGTGTGCTGAATGTCTGATGAAGAGGACAGAGCCGGACCTCCACAAAGGCCCAGAAAAACAAACGGACCAAGAGGACAGATTGGTGAGTACAACTGATCCTGGTTTAGACCTGGTTTAGTCCTGGTTTAAGTCCCTGTTTTAGACCTGGTTAGACCTGTTTAGACCTGGTTTTAGACCTGGTATAGACTGGTTAAGTCCTGGTTTCAGTCCTGGTGTTAGACCTGGTTTAGACCTGGCACCACGTCCTGTCCATCCCTGGTTTTAGACCTGGTTTAGACCTGGTTTATGACCTGTTTTAACCTGGTTTAAGACCTGGTTTAGACCTGGTTTAGACCTGGTTTAGTCATGGTTCTGTCCTGGTGTTTTAGACCTGTTGAGACCTGGGTTTCATCCTGGTTCATCCAGGTGTATTAGACCTAGGGTAGCTTGGGTTAGTCCTGGTTTAGTCCGGGTTTAGACATGGTTTTAGTCCTGTTTTAGGTCCTGGTTAGTCCTGGTTGAGACCTGGTTTAGACCTGGTTTAGACCTAGGGCTAGACCTGGTTTAGTCCTGGTTTAGTCATGGATCAGACCTGGTTCAGACCTGGTTACAGACCTGGTTTAGTCCTGGTGTTAGTCCTGGTTTAGTCCTGCTGACCCTTCTGTGTGTTTCTTATCGTGTGCTGAAGTGTCTGATGAAGAGGAGCTATAAAAATAAAAAAAAAAAAAGAAAAAAAAAAAAAAAAAAAGAGCGACCTCCACAAAGGCCCAGAAAAACAAACTGACCAAGAGACAGATGGGTGAGTACAACTGATCCAGGTTTAGCCTGCGGGTTTAGTCTGGTTTAGTCTGATTAGTCCTGGTTTAGTCTGTTTTAGTCCTGGTTTAGTCCCCTGGTTTTAGTCCTGATTAGACCGGTTTAGACCTGTTCGACGCTGGTTTAGACCTGGTTAGACCTGGTTTAGACCTGGTTTAGACCTGTTTAGACCTGGTTCAGTCCTGGTGTTTTAGACCTGGTTTAGACCTGGTTTAGACCTGTTTCAGTCCCGGTCCAGTCTGTTTAGACCTGTTTTAGACCTGGTTTAGACCTGGTTTAGACCGGTTTAGACCTGTTTAGATCCTGTATAGTCCTGGTTTAGTCCTGGTTCAGTCCTGTGTTTAGACCTGTTTAGACCTTGGTTCAGTTCCTGGTTCAGTCCTGGTGTTTAGACCTAGGGTAGACCGGTTTAGTCCTGTTCAGTCCTGTTTTTAGACATGGTTAGGCCTGGTTCAGTCCCTGATTAGTCCTCGGTTTAGACCTGGTTTTAGACCTGGTTTAGACCTGGTTTTAGTCCTGTTTAGACCTGGTTTAGTTCTGCTGACCCTTCTGTGTGTTCTTAGCGTGTGCTGAAGTGTCTGATGAAGAGGGCTAAGCCGACCTTAGACCTCGGACCTAGACAGGTTTAGACCTGGTTTAGTCCTGGTTTAGTCCTGGTTTAGTCCTGGTTTAGTCCTGGTTTAGACCTGGTTTAGACCTGTTTAGACCTGGTTTAGACCTGGTTTAGACCTGGTTTAGACCTGGTTTAGACCTGGTTTAGTCCTGGTTCAGTCCTGGTGTTTAGACCTGGTTTAGACCTGGTTCAGTCCTGGTCCAGTCCTGGTTTAGACCTGGTTTAGACCTGGTTTAGACCTGGTTTCGACCTGGTTTAGTCCTGGTTCAGTCCTGGTGTTTAGACCTGGTTTTAGACCTGGTTTAGACCTGGTTCAGTCCTGGTTCAGTCCTGGTGTTTAGACCTAGGGTAGACCTGGTTTAGTCCTGGTTTAGACATGGTTTAGGCCTGGTTTAGGCTGGTTTAGACCTGGTTCAAGACCTGGTTCAGTCCTGGTTTAGACCTGGTTTAGACCTAGGCTAGACCTGGTTTAGTCCTGGTTTAGTCTTGGTTCAGACCTGGTTCAGACCTGGTTTAGACCTGGTTTAGACCTGGTTTAGACCTGGTTTAGACCTGGTTTAGTCCTGGTTCAGTCCTGGTGTTTAGACCTGGTTTAGTCCTGGTTCAGTCCTGGTGTTTAGACCTGGTTTAGACCTGGTTCAGTCCTGGTCCAGTCCTGGTTTAGACCTGGTTTAGACCTGGTTTAGACCTGGTTTAGACCTGGTTTAGACCTGGTTTAGACCTGGTTTAGACCTGGTTTAGTCCTGGTTCAGTCCTGGTGTTTAGACCTGGTTTAGACCTGGTTCAGTCCTGGTTCAGTCCTGGTGTTTAGACCTAGGGTAGACCTGGTTTAGTCCTGGTTTAGACATGGTTTAGGCCTGGTTTAGGCCTGGTTTAGGCCTGGTTTAGACCTGGTTCAGTCCTGGTTCAGTCCTGGTTTAGACCTGGTTTAGACCTAGGCTAGACCTGGTTTAGACCTGGTTTAGTCCTGGTTTAGTCTTGGTTCAGACCTGGTTCAGACCTGGTTCAGACCTGGTTCAGACCTGGTTTAGTCCTGGTTTAGTCCTTGCTGACCCTTCTGTGTGTTCTTAGCGTGTGCTGAAGTGTCTGATGAAGAGGAGCTAGAGCCGACCTCCACAAAGGCCCAGAAAAACAAACGGACCAAGAGGACAGATGGTGAGTACAACTGATCCTGGTTTAGTCCTGGTTTAGTCCTGGTTTAGTCCTGGTTTAGACCTGGTTTAGACCTGGTTTAGACCTGGTTTAGACCTGGTTTAGACCTGGTTTAGACCTGGTTTAGTCCTGGTTCAGTCCTGGTGTTTAGACCTGGTTTAGACCTGGTTCAGTCCTGGTTCAGTCCTGGTGTTTAGACCTAGGGTAGACCTGGTTTAGTCCTGGTTTAGACATGGTTTAGGCCTGGTTTAGGCCTGGTTTAGGCCTGGTTTAGACCTGGTTTAGACCTAGGCTAGACCTGGTTTAGACCTGGTTTAGTCCTGGTTTAGTCTTGGTTCAGACCTGGTTCAGACCTGGTTCAGACCTGGTTCAGACCTGGTTCAGACCTGGTTTAGTCCTGGTTTAGTCCTGGTTTAGTCCTTGCTGACCCTTCTGTGTGTTCTTAGCGTGTGCTGAAGTGTCTGATGAAGAGGAGCTAGAGCCGACCTCCACAAAGGCCCAGAAAAACAAACGGACCAAGAGGACAGATGGTGAGTACAACTGATCCTGGTTTAGTCCTGGTTTAGTCCTGGTTTAGTCCTGGTTTAGACCTGGTTTAGACCTGGTTTAGACCTGGTTTAGGCCTGGTTCAGTCCTGGTTCAGTCCTGGTTCAGTCCTGGTTCAGTCCTTGTTTAGTCCTGGTTCAGTCCTGGTTTAGTCCTGGTTCAGTCCTGGTTCAGTCCTGTTTCAGTCCTGGTTTAGACCAGGTTCAGTCCTGGTTCAGTCCTGGTTTAGTCCTGGTTTAGTCCTGGTTTAGTCCTGTTTCAGACCTGGTTTAGGCCTGGTTTAGTCCTGGTTTAGGCCTGGTTTAGGCCTGGTTTAGTCCTGGTTCAGTCCTGGTTCAGTCCTGGTTTAGACCTGGTTTAGACCTGGTTTAGACCTGGTTTAGTCCTGGTTTAGACCTGGTTTAGACCTGGTTTAGACCTGGTTTAGACCTGGTTTAGACCTGGTTTAGTCCTGGTTTAGTCCTGGTTTAGACCTGGTTTAGACCTGGTTTAGACCTGGTGTAGACCTGGTGTTTAGACCTGGTTTAGACCTGGTTCAGTCCTGTTTCAGTCCTGGGGTAGTCCTGGTGTTTAGACCTAGGGTAGACCTGGTTTAGTCCTGGTTCAGTCCTGGTTTAGACCTGGTCCAGACCTGGTCAGCAGGATAAACATAAGTCTTTATGTGTCTTATTGTCTCCATCAGAAGCTTCTAGAAACCCAAAGAAACCCTGGAGTGAGGAGGAGAGCCGTGGAGAAGAGGATGGGGAAGTACCTGGCTCTGTGTGCTGTGCCTCACACAGGAGTCTGCAGCCCTCATCAACAGAACCTGGAAGGACCTCAAGTACTTTGTGTATAATACTATTATCCGACTCAAGAGGCAGCTTGTGTAGCTGGTATTTGTGTCAAAACTCATTCCCAAAGCGCCGCAGTGGCTGCAGGTTTTCCATCAGACCAAGCAGGCGCAGAGCAGACTCCTCCCATTTCCTCAGTGAGTTCAGTCTTAACCTGAAGGTTAGAGGAAATGGGGAGGAGTCTGCTCTGCTCTGCTTGGTCTGATGGAAAACCTGCAGCCACTGCGGCGCTTTAGGAATGAGTTTGACCGACCTGCTTTAATGTTAAGTGCAGTTATGTGTTAAAGTCCCATTCAAGAGCACTTTGTATTAGGTCCTTTGTAATTGTCCTGTTGGGACAAGTCAAATACAAAGATGCAAATAAACCTGTCTTTCAATTGTTTTGCTTTGTTTTATTAAAATTGCTGTGATCCCACATAATAATCTGTGTCCATTTGCACATGTGACCAACTATATAATTCTAAATAAACCTTCAAAGAGTTAAAAAAGGTCTATTCATGATTTCTTTTGCAAATTTCACTTATTGTCCCCCTCTGATGGTTCAAAACTTTTTCTTAAATCTTGGTTCTAAAAGTTTTTCAATGGAGTGTATAGCTCCGCAGCGCCATCAAGTGTCTAGAAAGTGTTTTTTCTTCCTCCTAAAACATTGGGAAAGGGGCAAGTCCTCAGTTTTCATGTTTTTAACTACGACCTCACTTAGTGTTTGCGGGAATGTGTGTGTTTGTGTGTGTGTTCTGGCGAATAGAGACTGATTGTTGAATGTCTGAAGTGTTTATTGCAATAGCACCACACTGAGAGCGAGGGTCAGGGCAGATAGTAACATGTGTGCACGTGTGTGTGTGCGCGCCCCGGACACGAGTGCACACACACACACACTTCAGCAACGAGCGTACGAGCGCTGAGAAATGAATGAATGAGAATGACAAAGTGTGGAGCAAAGTGATCGGAGGCAGGGAAGTTACTAGTGTCGGTGTGTGTGTTCTGGTGATTAAATAAAGACTGATTCTTTAATGTCTGAAGTGTTACTGCGATAGCACCACTGAGAGCAGGGTCAGGACAGAGGGAGTATACTCGTAGGAAACGCTTTTCTTTGGCCTTGCAGCCCACACACTCCCTGTGCCCCTCGGTCTGGGGCTTATATGAAAGGTTTAACAGAAGCGGAGAATATAAGAAAGTGCAGGAGAGACGTGTGTGTGAAAATGCGTGTCACAGGAAGACGTGTAATGTGACGCAAGATAATCAGATATTAGGACCGACATCACACACATCAGGTCTGAGTGAGATATTAGGACCTATAACACACACATCAGGTCTGAGTGAGATATCAGGACCTACAACACACACATCAGGTCTGAGTGAGATATTAGGACCTACAACACCACACATCAGGTCTGAGTGAGATAATAGGACCTACAACACACACATCAGGTCTGAGTGAGATATTAGGACCTAAACACACACATCAGGTCTGAGTGAGATATCAGGACCTGCAACACACACATCAGGTCTGAGTGAGATATTAGGACCTAACACACACATCAGTTCTGAGTGAGATTTTAGGACCTACAACACACACATCAGGTCTGAGTGAGATATTAGGACCTACAACACACACATCAGGTACTGAGTGAGATATTAGGACCTACAACACACACATCAGGTCTGAGGGACATATTAGGACCTACAACACACACATCAGGTCTGAGTGACATATTAGGACCTACAGTATAACAAGCACTTCAGGTCTGAGTGAAATATTTATCAATCGTTACTCCTTTCACGGAGAGTAACTCTGTAGATGGACAAATACATTATAACTTTAATGTAGAATTATTTATTTTTATACATTGTGTTTGTAATTTTTGACACCTCACTTTTATATTTGTTTTTGATGTTTTAAATTCTAATTTAAACATGATTTTCCAACTGGAGTTAAGACAATTTTTCAGGGAGATAATCTACTGACACAAGGAGAATATGCAAGCTCCACTCCAAAAGGCCCCTTCTGGCTGAAAGTTTTTTTCTTTTCTTTTTTTTTACAAACACACACTCACTACTCAAGATCTTTTTAAATTACCATGAGTCAATATTTTGACTATTCTACCCACCTCTGGGAATGTATTTAAGTTTGTGACAAAATAGGTGACATATGAGGACAAGTGTGTGTGTGTTAAAAGTGTGTTAAGGTAGTACCGTGCACGACCAGAGAGGCGCTTCAAACTTTTTGGGACGGAGTGTTTCGGCCCCGACACACATTTTCACTATTTGTAGACATTTTGGGACATGCTTGATTTTTGGTGTGGAGCTTGTTCTGGGCCTCTACAACACTGTAGTATGCATGGAAAATGGGGACCTGAAAAAAGTCCTCACATTTCCTCAGGTCCTGATATTGAAGGTGTGTTATCATACAAAAGTCCTCATATGTCCACAAAAACAAACGCACACACACACACACACACACACTCTGGGGCGGCACGGTGGCTGAGTGGATAGCACTCTCGCCTCTCAGCAAGAAGGTCCTGGGTTCGAATCCCGGTCGAACCAGGGCCTTTCTGAGTGGAGTTTGCATGTTCTCCCCGTGTCTGCGTAGGTTTCCTCCGGGTACTCCGGTTTCCCCTACCACTAAAAAAAATATGTTCAATAGTTCTGGCATATGCCTCTTGTACTGGCCCCGCTCCCATCTGTGTGGAGTGAGAGACAAATGCCCAAAATTAACAATTGTAAACCGCTTTGAGACTCAGATCTGCAGTGAAAAGGCGGTATATAAATAAAAAACTTACTTACTTACTTACTTACTCTGAGGAGCACAGGGACGGGCTCAGACCGACAGACTCAGACCTCCTCACTCCCTCAGATCCAAGTGTGTAGATCGAAAAAGAGCAAATAAATCCCACTGTACTTTAACCCACTTCTCCGATTGGACCTTTGTACAAACAGAAAATAACTTTAACGGTGAATTTCTACTGAAAAAATGTAAACCAGACGCTGTAGTGGTTTTGTTTGTGGAATGTTTTGTTTTCAGGGCATTCTCATTTGAGCTAATCTTGGCCGAGTACAGATGCTGAGCTCATGATGTTTTGTAAAAGACTGAAACAACAAACCTGCGTCCCTATTCTTCAAACCTTGTTATAGCTTCACAAATAACAAACCTGCATCGGCATTTTTCTCTCCTGCAATTAGGAAGACTCTATAAAAAGACTTGCATTGTTTATCACATGCTGTAAAATCTCGTTCCTTTCCAAGCGGAGCCGGTCTCGGTCTCCCTGGTTCTCCCTGGTTCTCCCTGGTGTGGCGGTGATAACTGATCAGCTGTGTATCATGGTGCAAGACGACATCAAAGACATCTCCATTTTATCCTTATCTCAGATGTTTAGCATGAGCCTTTTTAGACTTTATATTCGGAGCATAAATGATGTCTGTCTGATGTGTTTGGACCCAGACATAAACCTAATGCATCCATGTCCATGTCTGTCTTTTTGTAGGATTGAAATGAGACTAATTGGTGTTTTGTTTATGGAATTAAGATTATAAATATCCACTGTTTCTTCTCCTGCCATATGTGTGTGTAATTAACTGTACATTAATCATACACACATAATATATTCTTGGGTTTCATTAAACTGGCCTGTAGGGGGCGATAGAGCAGAGGTGCGACAACTCAGCTTTGCTCCCATTGAAAACCAACCCTTTCATTTGTGCAGTATTGATAATGTTCAAATAAATAAAACTTCAGTCTAACTCTGACATAAATGCAGTGTGAGGCTGGAGTGATATAAACTGTTGTATTGAACTATGGTAAGCATCAAAGGCCCCAAAACCCCAATGTAAATCCCCTCCCCTGTTGAGAGCCACACAGTTTAGCCCGTTAAATATCAATACTGTTTTTTTCTACAACATAGAAGAAAAAAACCCTTACTCAACGGTTCATCACAGCCATGTTTTCCAGCTTCAGTTCGAGCAGCACTCAACTCTCCGCTTTTTATGTCGAGGAGTTGGTAGGATGCCGGTGTCAAGTCTAGTCTGAACAAAAGGCCTTTAACTTTAGCTCAGAACAGTTTGTCCAGAGTATCCCACAGACTTCTGCAGCCGAGGACATTCTCCAAGTGCTTTAACCTCCTCGGTGAAGGCCCTTGAAGCTAATTCAAATCGGCTTTACTGCAGAAAGAATGGAGAAGAGTAAAGAAGTCTGACCTCCGCTTCCCCAACCTTCGTCACCATCAGAGGCAGGCTGCATAAGTCTTTAGCATGCAGGAGCTAGCCCACGGCACGCTGCATAAATTTAGAGATGCAGAATGTTTGTTCTAATTAGCTTTATGGCTCAACCGTTATCGTTGAGCTCAAAATCAGGTCAGAGGAGAGCGAGGAAGAAACACAAAAGGCAAAAAGGCATTTTCTGTCATCCATGTATCAACATCTACGAAAACATGAAGTTCTATATTTAATCATGAAATGTCCCCATGACTTTTTTATACTAATGATTAATCATCAAGTGTTTTTATAAAGTGTTCTTAGATTAATCATTCGGTGTCTGCATAAAAAGCTTTTGTATGATGTTTAGCCTGAGTTTAGATCAGATCGAGCATCCCTCTCTTATCAGGACAACGAATGAGACCCAGAACCAGACCAGACCAGACTGGAAAGGATGCAGAGGGCGTATTCGGAGGCACATTCTTCCAGACATTTTCATGAAATTGTTGGTAGGACATTTTGAAAAGCAGTCTGAGCAGGGACAGAGAGACAGAGGACATCTCATTTTCAGGCCTGGAGGAAGAGTTACATTGGCTCAGCTCACAGGACTAGTCAGGGCAATAAGAGCTCCCAGTGTTTTGTATTCATATTTAATTGCAAAGCTAATGTTTTATATTTAACTCTTGAATCTTGGTCTTATTTCTGTACCAAACTCTGAGACACGTCCATCGTTTCATTGACAAAAGGCACAATCAGAATGAAATCACTGATGTCATTAGAGCTCGATTTTATTGGGTGTAAATATGTTTCAAAGGTTTACTATTGTGTTGAGAAGAAGGCTTTGGGTTGTAATTCTACTGCCTGCACTACCTTCTAAATGTCAGTTATAAAAAGATTAAAATAAAGTTGCTTCTTGTGACTGTAATAAATAATTTCATGAGCTGTAAACGGACTGCAAAAGGCTTTTATGCGTTCATGTTTTTTGCCTTTTACATTCCTCTTTCGTAGCAATTAAAATGTGGGTTCAGTCTTGTGGTTTCATTTCAGGGGAGGACAGGAGGTAGCCACACACACGGTAACGCTGAGGTCATCAATCACAATGTGACGCTAATAACAGGAGAGGACGGCAGCCATTTGTCAGAAATATCAGTCACGCTTTAGTATTTAACATCTGCAGAGATATGAAACACAAAGCAATAAGGAGATACACTGTTGTTTCATGTGGGAGAAGGTGAATGGAATGGTTGATGCCATAGAGCAGGGGTGTCATACTTATTTAGGTTGAGGGCCGTATAAAAAATGAAAGGTCTGGTCAGGGGCAGAAAGAATAAGTGGGTTTCATTTGTTATACTTTTTAATAGTATGAAGGTTTCTATATAAATGACTTCACATTAGTTAGGTTGGATTTTCTTTTCTGATTATAGTTAGTTCAGTTTCTGTGACTGAACCAAAACTGAACCAAATATTGAAGTTATACAGGAGGATTTTCTACTTCCGGGTGGATCTTCAAAACTATTGGTCCTCCCAACTGTCAATCATTCTGGTGGTTTGTGCTCGTCAAAGACCAGAGAGTTTTGTTCAAAAAGTGGAGAGGGCGGTTCTTTCCGAAGAAAATTGGGAAATGCTCCTTCATATCTTTAAGAAGAAATGTAATTGAAGACTCATAAAAAAAACATAACAAAACCAACTTCTATATAATGACATGTCGGCTCAACATTTCTTATGGAATTAAATTGTATAGTTGTTTTCTCATGAAAATTAGTGATGGTTAACATTCCATTAACGCCTAATACGGCTGGCACGGTGGCTGAGTGGATAGCACTCTCGCCTCTCAGCAAGAAGGTCCTGGGTTTGAATCCCGGTCGGACCAGGGCCTTTCTGAGTGAAGTTTGCATGTTCTCCCTGTGTCTGCGTAGGTTTCCTCCGGGTACTCCGGTTTCCCCTACCACTAAAAACATGTACAATAGGTCTGGCATGTGCCTCCTGTACTGGTGACCCCGTTCTCTGTGTGGAGTGAGAGACAAATGCCCAAAAAAATAACAATTCTAAACCGCTTTGTGACTCTGGTCTGTGAAAGGCGGTATATAAATAAAGATAACTTACTTACTTACTTAATACCATCAATGCTGCTATTTAATATAATCATTTAAAATCATCTAAAATCCTCTCAGGGGCCACCAGAAATGGTCTTGCGGGCCGGATCTGGCCCCCGGGCCTTGACTTTGACACCTGTGCTATAGAGGATTCATATAAATAGTTCACAATGTGCCTAGACTAAAAAAAAAACGTCTTGAAAAACAAATTATCCTGTACTTTATATTCATCCGTAAGCACCACTTTCTAATCTGCTCTGTGCCAGTTTCCAATAATTTTCTCCTTAGAGACTTCTGGCAAACTCTATAGGTCTCTAATATAGTCCCTTTTTGTTGGATATTTTTTATGTTATGTTGCTGGTTATTGTTGTTGACGACTGACGAAATAATAAACTAAAACCTGTCCTATTGACCCCGTGCATGTGACGCCCTGGCCACGCCCACTCTCCATGACAGACGGCCGAAGTCAAACTGCCTTCAGAAACTTGACCAAAACAACCTGTTTCACCGAATTACAGCCAAAACTGTGATATTGTGCAGTTGGTTGTTCTAACAGGACAAAAGCCAAATGTGTTTTTATCTGATGCTCGACATGAAGACAGAAGACGACGACGATCGACCAAACAGACTGGGAGCCATCCAAGTTCTCCCTAATCTGCAGTGAACACTTTTTACAAGATAAATCCATCACAATTTTGTATTTATTGTCTTTCCATTAATTTACTTTGAGGACAATGACAGAACGAACGCTTGAAGTCAAACGTGTCTCTTACAACTGTCGTGTCTGTGCGCTGCAACATTGAAATGTCCTCACTGTGGCACGAATAAAGCATCTCTATCTTATCTTAAGCCTGGTTCACACGAGACGATTTTAAAATTGTCGGCCGATTTTTCTCCGTGTTAGACCCCACACGGGGAGATTAAAAATCCTGCGTCTAACCACTTTGGTCGTGCAGTGTGTGGTGCGTAGCCACACGGCAAGATCACGCAAGCCACAAACATCACACACGAACCGACCCCCCCCCCCCCCCGAGCATTCCCAGGTCAGACGGAAATCTCACAAAATCTCTCGAGATCAAGCGTGACTTCAGAGTAAACAGTCATGGCGGACGAAGAGGATGCAGTGGCGATAGTGTGCAGTTTGTTGTTAACAGAGAAGACACGTAATCCAAAGAAAAGGCAATGGTCAAAGCCATGCTGCTGTGTTTTGGTTTTTTTCCGGTGTTTCCTCACCGGCTTGTCACCTCGTCTTCTTATTGGCTACACGCCGTAGTCATGGCAACGCGCTCGCTTGTCCTCGGAGGACACCACACACGACAAGAAATCGGGCCAAAACAATCCAACATGTTGGATATCCCCGATTTGAGATCGGGAGCAGTCCCGATGTCCTTCCGAGCGACGAGTGCAGTCTTAACACACCACACACGGCAGGATAATCTGTAAGATTTTGTTACGGAAATCGGAGCGTTTCTTAAGATTGTCGTAAGGGGTAAATCGGGTCTAAATCGGCCTAAATATCCTGCCGTGTGAACCAGGCTTAAGACGTAAGTTGCGTTTTTCACCATTTTCCTCTCCGTCCATATGTATCATGTTTGGCTGTAGACAGAAGACCCGCAGAAAAGTGGAATATTGCTAATGCGTTAATGCTACCACCAACATTAAGTACCACTCTTTGTGACCCTTGACCCCTGACGTCCTACTTCCACCGATGAAGCAGCCACTTCTCAGTCTCAGTTTTTAAGAGTTGTGTCTGTTT